GCCGCGGGTCGCTCCCCGCCGATGCGCCGCCGCGGAGCGCGGGCGGACGATGGAACTCCACATCCTAGAGCATCGGCTGCAAGTTGCCAGCGTCGCCAAGGAGAGTATCCCGCTCTTCACCTACGGCCTCATCAAACTTGCCTTCCTGTCCTCCAAGACCAGGTGAGCGAGCGCGCTGGGGGTTGGTATGGGAGGGGGGGGACCCGCGACGCGGCGCCCGGCCGGGGACAGACAAAGAGGCGCACCCCGGGGCATCTGTCCTCGTCTCCGCGCCGCGGAAAACAACTTCAGCCCCGGGGAGCGCCGGCCTTCGACAGAGCCACCCCCTCTGCGCTCCCGCGGGGGTCCCTGCACCCTGACCCCCTAGCCCGCCGCTGTCACTGCCCCCCCTTCACACAAACACACCCATCTCGGTCCCCTCCCCGAGATCCCCAGGCCCCGGGCGACCGTAGTGACGAATCCGTGAATGAATGAGTGAATGAATGAACGAACGAACGAATGAATGAAAAACAGGTGTGGGGACGCTGCAATGGAAAAAACAAACACCCCCATCCTCCCCATCTATCCGTTGTTCCCCCCACCCCCCTCCCGGGTCGCCACAGCCGAGGGGGAGGGATTCAGCCAAGCGAGCGCGGCCACCCAAAGCAGAAAAATTACAAAACCATTAGTGGATGTTTATCTCAAGGTGCCTGAGAGGGTTGCGGCGATGGGGGTGGAAGGCAGGCAGGGGGCTGCGGGGCCTGGGTCGACGAGATTCTTTCTCTTGGGGTCCGGGGAAGCTGCGGCGGGGGGTGCCTAACCGTGGAAGGGGAGGAGCAGGCTTGTTTATGGATCTGCCCCTGGCTGGGTTGGGATGCAGGAGAAAAAAATAGTTGAAGGCCTTGGAAGGTAAAAGGAAGATAGAGAAGAAAAAATCCAACTTGGATTTTTCCTATGCTAGGTAAAGGTTTGATTGACGTTGTCAGCCCCGGTAGGTATTTGTGTTAGGGTTTTGTTTTGGGGGCCTATTGAGTGCTGGTAGCCGCTGTAACTTAAGTCCCTTGATACCTACCATTGTGGCTGTTAAAATGGATGGTGAAGTTGTTGCTTGTTGGGTTTTGGGGGGGAGGGGGTGAAAGTGATTTCCACTCTTTGCAAAATGAATGAATACATTACAGGTCAAGGTTAAGTGAAAATGACAGCCCCCACCCCTGGGTTGTCCCCTTCTGTGCAGAGCTCAGGGGACTTGGGGAAATAATTCCATCCAAATCTGTTATTTGCCTGCTAAAGTTCTCGCTTGGAAATCTCACTTTGATGGGTCTGAGCTGAGAGCTCAGTCCGGGGCCATTGTTTGCTGAGGCAGCCAGCCCAGCCGGTGGCGTCTTGTTTACTTTCTTCTCCGGCTGGGCTGCTCCTCCGCAGGGTCTGAAGGTTTGGAACTCTTGCCTTCCCAGAGCCCTTGCTCCTTTGATTGCAAAAGGTAATCATTAAACAGGTCGTTTGAAAACAAAAGCAACGGAGGGGGATT